ATTAAACAGGATAGCTCAGACACCCAGGGAAAAAAAAGCCATAAAGAACATGCTTTTCCCGTTACAAAACTCTTTGTCTACAAAAGGATCTGAGCTTGAGGTCTGGAATAGAAATCGACTGGCACATTTCATCAGCATGAAGTCTCTGCTTGGAAACTCTCTGAGCACCTCGCTTTCCCTGCCCCCACATACATTTTATTTATTTTTCTTACACAACACATTTCGCTTTTTGTTTGGTTACGTTTGTTTAAAAAAGAATAAAAGCCCTAAAAAACAGGTAGCAGTATCCAAGGTAACAGCATAAAAGACTCCAGATTTTCACATTATTATCTTTTTGCAAGTTTCATGCAAAACTTAAAAAACATTTCTGCATGCAACATTAGAATGATGCTTTTATTTTTGTGCTCTGTACAAAGCCAGGGAGGTGTCCCTGTCCCTCTCACCAGTGCATTCACCAAAGCACAGAACTGGTTTATCCTTGTGCACTCATACATTAAGACAAGTCCACGTTCTGCACACCCCTAACTCCTCCCCGCCCCCCAATGTATGGGACTCCACATCTTGACCAGAATCACATACAGTACTCTTGCCCACAAACTCACGGCATCCTCTCAATAAAGCCCCATGATGGCAGCTCCCACATCCTTGGAGGGTCTGCGGTCCTTCACCAAAAAGTTAATCATGCTCTCTGACTTGATGAGCAAGTTGCAGCCCAGAAAGAAGATCCCGAACACCACAGTCAAGGAGAGGACACAGAGCACTGCAATCTGCACCACCCGTGTGATATAGAGGTTCCTCTCATCAGGCAGCAAGACTGAAGATCCCCCATCACTTGCCACCACAGACCCGGTCCCATTGCAGCAGCCCATCAGAGTTCCCAGATCCTGGGTCCGGTTGGTATAAACCCCTTGCTCTACAACAGTCTGGTTGAAAAAAGTCCCATTCATTGTATTGTTTTAATCCAGCCTTTCCAACAAAGAGAGGAGGACAGAGAAATGACCCCCTGTGCCGATGAACAGTTGAGGGCAGGGGAGTGGGATCCTTGCCACCTCGCTTTCCTCACCACAGAGTGTCAGGTGCTGGAACAAACTTCCTTGAGGCTGCAAGCAACTATGAAGCCAATGTGTTCAGCTGAGGGAGGTCTCACTCATTGGCTCATCACACAGTCATTAAAAACACAAACCCCCTAACAGTGCAGAGCAAGGAGGAAAGGAATGCACCGAGGGAGAAATTGGTACCCTCACACAGAAGAGCCCCAGTCCCTTCACTGCTGCCCCCAAATCCTTGGCAGCCCAGAGCTCTGGGAGGGTGAAGCAGAGGCACATTCCCTTTGGTGAAATCAGCACAGGAGAAAGATGCTGAATCCTGCAAGCTGGGAAATGCAAGTTCCAATCTAAAGTCGAGGCAGTGTTAAAAAAAAGGCATATCTCAGCAACTCCACCCCCTGCCAGCCCCCCAGGACCGCCCTCCTCCCCCAGCCACTGCTGCCCCCAGCCCCTCCTGCTCCCACACCTCCAGATCACTGACTTCCCCACCTACTTCTGACCACCCCAAGGGCTTAGTGACTGCCAGCCTCCCCTCCTGCCCCCAGGTGCCTGGTCACTGCTCTCTCCGAGCCACTCCTGACTCCTTCCTTAAGGAAGTGTGAGCCCTGCTCATTCCTGATCCTGCCATCAAAGCCTGCCCTACCCACTCATTTCTCTCATTTGTCCCATGTTCCCTTCCTCCCTTCTCCCATCACTGAGTCCCCAAGCTGACAGCAGTGTCCCCTCCCCATTGCTGATCCGAGCATAGGTGGGTATCTGAATTTCCCTCTTTCCTTTCCCTAGGCTCCCCTCAACCGCTCTGGAAGGTGACGCACAGGGGCTTGTCCTAGCCCTCAGCTTCCCCCTGGTTGTCTTTAACTCAGCACCACTGCATTTTGGTCAGGATCCCCTCCCTTTGTTTAGCCAGCCACTGGTGTACAAGGTGCTGCAGCAGCTATGCTTCACCCCTGAAGGGTGATATATTGGCCTCCCTGAGCAATGGGCAGCAATGGGAGTTGTGGGGGGTCATGTCAGTCACAGGTATCACTGACCAGCCTCAACCCTCGTGTGCACACATCCTGTTGAAAGACAACATTTGGAGCATGCCCAGGCTGCAGAGGCAAGCCCTCAAAGATGTCCACATTGCTCCGGCAGCCTTAACTCTAGCCCTGGATGTACACCCTTGACTTCCCTCCCCCCAGGTAGGTGCTTGCGGGTGTATGACAGGAGGCACCAACAAGAGGGCCTCATGCAATGCAAAGATCCCTTCTGCCACTCATTCTAAGAGGAGGGTAAAATACCCCTAGACTAATACTCATCTCCCTGCCACACCCAACCTGCTACAGGCAGAGTGGGGTGCGTGGCCTGGGTTCACTAGCTGGACTCTACCACCTTTTGTCCTTGTCCAAGGGTTCTGATAAATGACCTGGCCCAGGAGAGACTAAATGGCTGGACCAGATGTATTTAACCAAAATACAGTGCAATGCACAAGGCCAAAAAGAGCAGATTCTTGGGATGGATGACATGTACAAGGTAAGCACTTGTCTATTCCCCACTTGTGTTATAAAGACTCAGGGCTTCCCATTCAGCTCCCCAGTCCCTAGTCTCTAGCCAACTCTGTCCACAGTATTGGCCTCCTTCCATCCAGAGCCAGCTGTCTCCTCTGACTCCACTAGCACAGTGCTAGGCAAGGTCTCATGGCCCACTCCCCACATAGTGTCAGTCATCATGCTCTGCTCAAATCCTGTAGGGAGCAATGCATAAGGTATACACACATACTAAACCCTTCCCCATCCTTTGGTGGGATGTTCTAATGGACAGCTAAGAATCACACTGAACGCTCTGCCCTGCCCTGGTGCCCTGGTCATTATGGAAAGTTATCACTCTGCAGCCTTGGCTACTCCTGCATCTTTCACTGAAGCCTTCAGAAGTACTTAACAGACATTGGGCCACTATCACTATGTCATGGGGAGGCACAGGGAGAGGTTAAGCCACTGATTTGGAAGGCCTCATTTTTTAGATTCTGAACTTGTCACCTTAGATGTCTCTAGCTAGGTACCCAAAAATAGAGAGACCTCACTTCCTCTCTCAAATCCATAACTGCTTTTAGAAATTTCACCCTTGCTGACCAGCCTCAAGCTCACACTGACCTCCTGCTGAGAGCTGGAAAGGGGACTGTAGAGACCAGCTCTGGATCACTGCTTTAAACCTCAAAACTCACTCTTATCTAGAGCCCAGGAACCCCAGTCCTAGATTGATGCTCTTCTACAAAAAAAAAGCCATGCTCCTATGGAGACCTGGGAGTAGACCCCATGACTCCCAATGGTCGGATCTTTCCTCTACTTCCTTCTGTGCATATGACTCCCCTTCTTTGTCTTACCTCAGGCTGATGTTAATCTGTTTGCTAACTGGTGATCTACCAGCCATCTCCATAAGAGAGGAAAATCCTTTTTGAGACATCATTTGGTGGCTTTCTCCTGATATACTTTTTGTTTTCTTGGGGTTTGCAGGCAATCCTCTTTCCTTATTGTTAATATAATAATTGACTGATTCTGTTGTGTGTAGGATGCAGGAAGCTATGGGAGCTGGGGAGCTTCCAAGAGATATAAATAGAGATTAATAGCTTGAATCGTTATGGAGAGGAGACTGACGGCAGCAAAGAAAGAGAAAATGAAAAGTAGCCTTGCTGCTAGGTTGTAGGAGGTTAAGTGGGTAGGAGGGGGTTGCTTCCTTTTAAAGGTGACTGGCAAAGAAATTAGCCACATGTCCACATTTGCCCCTTCATGGTAAATACAGGCCTGGAAGGTTTTTTAAAGCCTAGGTTTTTCCTATTTGTTTTTCACATCTGCTATTCAGGTCTTGTCTACCTAAAGAATTGCTGACTTGGAGGGTCTTCACAAAATCAGGAGATCCAAGGGAAAGGAGAAAACTGACTGAGGCCCCAGTCCTGGTAGGATTTTCATGCAAAGTCCCATTGACTTCTCTGACAATTCACACCTGTGAGAAAAGCAGAAGCCCAATTCGGGGCAGAGATGTTCACTCCAAGGAGGAAAGTTACCATGGGGGGATATCTGATACATCAGGCTGTCAGTGCAGGACCCTGACTTCCCGTAATACACACCTCTGACTCTGCCTGGGTAACTTTCAATTAAATTGGGGACACCTTGAAATAAAACCTTAAACCAAAAGCCAACTACCCATCTTCCAGGCTTTCCCCAGACATCCAAAAAGGTCACAAAACCCTTCCTCCAAGCCATCATTCAACTTCCCAAGAGACAGTTGTGTTTTTAAAGTTCACACAACAGTGGTTAATATCAGAGCCTGGTAAGTGATGTGAAGCAAGCACTTTTGCTGTGCTTTTAGACCTTGGGAGCAAAGCCTAATGAAAAATTCCTGTGTTTGGTATCCTTCCATTTCCTTGTTAAAAAAAAAAAAAAGTCCCTGAAGGTTGAAATTTGACTGGTCCCAATGAGCTCCTATATTGGAATTTTCTTCTGTTGGAGTCCTCTGTTGCAGAGGCAGAATTCCAGTGGGATGGGGGGGAAAACCTGCAGTGATACCATCTGCATCCTGCAGCAGGACTCAGGAGCAACTGAAACAGAATTGCTGCTGAAAATGCCATTCCTGGCTGTCCATGATCTGAGAGCTGTTCCCTGGGATCTACCCTGTGGCTAGCAAGTGCTTCTACAAAGCAGGAGTCAAGGTTTCAGGACTGCAGGTAGAAGGACCCTATACTGTGAATACCCTGTGAAGGTTCTCCTGTCTCTCAGATGGGCTCTTGGAGCAGTGGTCTGCACTCTTGTCCTGTTGATGAGTGGACCTGGTGGGTTGCCGGGGTACAATGATGCCCAGTGGGCCCCAGTGTCAAGTTCACTGTACTTATTGCTACTCTTTTAAAACATGCTTGTGACAGGGGCTAGATTGACAGCTCTGCAGCCTGAAGTTCCCTGGGCAAAAGCAGTGCAAACTCCCTCCACCCAACCCCATAGCTCCAAGAACTGTCCTTAGAGAAGAAAAGGCGGTTATGTGTCCACATTCTACCTGTCCCTTGGACTCTGGGCTAGGCCTGCCAACAGGTGTGTGGATGGCAACTTTCTACAAACCAGAAGCCCATTCCCATTGGCACTAGACTGACAGCAGCTTCTTGTGTCTTGTCCATCATAAGCCAAGGTTGCTGGTCACACACACCTGAAAGGCATTAGACCCTTTCACCTAAAGATGAGAGTTCCTCCTCCTTTGTACCAGTGCTACAGGCCAAGCAGCCCTCCTGCGGGAAGAGGAGCAGGAGTGTCCAGGGAGGAGTGTCCTGTGCCATGCTGCCATTTATTCTTCCAGGCATTCTCTGTGCTTTAACAGGGTCAGGCGTGAGGGGTAGGAATGTAAATGCCAGTGATTCTCAACCAGGGTTTGTGGTACCTTTGGAGTGTGCTATGGGTATTAGCACAATTAGGTGTGCAAACACCTACACATGATTCACAAGATAAACCCAGAGATTCTGAATAGGAATCCATAGTGTCAAAACTATTCAGACCCGTTCTGGTCTTACTGAATTCTTTGCAACAAAAGAACTGCTTGATTATTTTTCTGTTGTCAAGAAACAAGTGAAAGTTAAGAGGGGCATTTGGTGAGGGGCACGTTGAGTTCAAAAAGGAATGCCCTGAATCTGAAAAAGTTCAGAACCACTGGACTCTGATGGGGTTGGGAATACATTGGGCTGCTGAGGCTGAGGAAGTAGCACGATCCTGAGAGTTCACTGGCTTTTCCAAACTGTGGCCAGAAGCTGGGCGATCTCCCTTGTGGGCTGCAAAAATGAGAGGAAATCAACACGTTCCTCCCACTGTCCTGCATAGTACTGTCTCGTATAGCACAGGCAAGTGAATCTCCCAAGTGAAGCACAAATTCAGTCCTGGTAGCTCCATACT